TGTTACCACACTCTTTGGGGAAATCTGCTAGGATTTCACAAAGAACCCTGTTCTGTTTGTTAGGGCCCCTCCATTAGACATTTCGGCTCTAGGATTTCGGGTTCCGCAGTGGATGAGTGTCGGGAGTTCGTATCCAAGGAAAGATTTTCCAGCACGGCTCCAAAGGCCCAGATTCACGACCTTAACTCAGCTTCCTACAGACAATGACAAGAGAGCCTACAGCCTAAACCCGGAAGCCTCATTACGGCCGAGGGTCCTTCTCTGCTGCACTTTCGCCAACCACTTCCTGAACTGATGCCAGTCTTGACATTCCGGCGGAAACGTCCTCCAAGTCTGGCCAAGACGCCAGCCTGTACCTCAACTGACTCAAAAACTCTACATCTCTACATGGGCAATGCTGAACTGTAGTAGGATGCTATAACGATAAATCCTAAACTCTAGACTCAAAGCATAGGCCGCTCACCTACAGTCGGCGGGCGGCGCTTAAGCCCCTCGCCCTAAACCTTAAATCCTAAACCCTAAATCCTCAATCCATGACTTCAGGGAGCTTAGGGTCTTTGGGAGCTTCGGCGATGAGAGCTCCGGGTGCACTACGAATCCCAAAGGACTTAGGGGTTTAGGGTTTGGGGGTTTAGGGTTTAGAGGTTTAGGGTCCCAGGCACTTGCCCTACAGTCGACTTCAACCTACCAAAACTTGCTTTTTGTGCTAAGAACTGCCAAGAAGGTATATGGTAGCTTAAGGTATGCAGGTACAATTGGGTCCGCGCCGAAACTTAGGGCCCCCTTTGCGGAACCAGCGGACCTAAATCCAAAACCCTTAACTAAACCCTAAACCCTACGTGCTTAACCCTCCTTACATTTCCAATTATCCAGGGAAATAAAAGGTTAACCTGTTACTACTAAATCATAAGAGCCCAAAAAGTGTCAAGGTTGGCTATTGGGGAGCTAAGCCTCTAAAGTGGAGGGCAGAGGATGCCGTCTTGGGGGTTCCAGATGTTGTCTTCTGAGAGAAGGGGGGGGTTACGGTGGGCAACTAGCCCTTTCAATAATTCGGGTTTACGGTGTATAAGCGAATTAAGGGTTGTCTAGGGTTTAGGGATTAGGGCCGTTTAGGGTTTAGGGTTTAGGAGCGGCTTGGTCAGAGGCTGCGCTGGGCTTCTATAAAGAATGATCAAACAACTATGCTGCCAATTGTGAGGCCCTCCATTGTCCCAACTGGAAACCCAAACCCCCCAAGCTCAAACTTAAGCCTTAAACTCTCAAAAGCCCTACACTGATGCCCGCAGCCCTCTGAAAATTGAACTCCAAACCTTAGCCCTACACCCCGAAACCCAGTAAACAATAACCCTGGAGTTCCCCTAAGAAACCCCGAAACTCTAAAACCACCCAGACCAACCAACATCCCTTAAGCCTTAATTAACTAAGGGATATACCTGAAATCATACCAGGGATCCTACTATAAGTTTCGGTATCTTCCGAAATTAAGGGATACATATTGGATGGGCAAACGACAAGTCACGGCAAGGATACGATAAACGTGGACCCGTGCCCTTGCTCGGACTCCACCTTCAGCTTCGGGTCGTCCGGGACTTGCGTTTAATTTAGGCTTGAGGGCTCGGGGTTTAGGGGGCTGAGAATTGGGTGCTCCGGCATATTCGGGGATAACGATCTAGGGCAAGACAGTGTTGTCTTGGTTCATGATTCAACAATCAGGTCGTTTAGGTATCTTTTGCGCAATTGGATCGGTGCTTCAAACAAGTCGACCATCAACGCTAAACTGTGGCGTTGAATGTAGGGGCCTCAATAAATAGAATAGGGTTTTGCGGCCCATTATACTATAAGTATAATAAAGACCACCCCAAAATAGTATAGGTAACTATTAAGGCCCCTATAGTGTATTGCCTGCAGCCGGAGGCCGTTGGGGTGGGAGGGTATGGTTGATCTTATATCGAAAGGGTAATTTGGCTTCATCTCAGACCGGGTCGACATGATTGTCCCCTAAACGCTAAGCTTTGTGTTTTATCCGCCGCTGTAAGGCTTTCAGTGCACTTTTGCCCATTGTCTCAGCTGGGGAAAGTGACTCATGCAGCATCGAGGAGCTCATATTCCCAAAGGAATGTAGGGGCCTTAATAACCATAATAGTGTTCTGGGTACCTTTATAAAGTATATTTATAAAAAGGAAACCTAACAATAATTTTGGTAACTATGTAGGCCCCTATATTAGAGCCTGAAGCGCGCACGCCCCCAAACCAGAACACAAGACCCTGGGCTCTGATTCGGCTTTGTCACCGTGATGTCTCCCCCGTGCTTCCGGGCGATTTCTCGGCTGATGGCCAAACCCAGCCCAAGTCCGGAGTATCTGGCAGCACTGGAAAGGTTTCGGGCTTACGGTTTAGAAGTTTAGAGTGCTGGTTTGGGGTGTGGGTAGTTGTGCTGCTCGTAGTTTTGAGGATTGCACTCGGTCGCAGTCGTCGGGTTGTGGCTGCCGTTGTTGGGGTCGCCAACGTTGTACTCGTCATCGTTTCCTCGTGCTCCTCCTCGTCATTCTGGGGGTCGTGCAAGTCTCGGATGAAGAACTCGTGTGTAGTAGTGGTAGTGGTCGTGGTGGTAGTAGTAATAGTAGCAGGAGGAGGAGTTGGAGTACGAGTAGCAGTAGCAGTGTTAGTGCAAGTGGCAGTGGCAGTGCTAGTGGCAGTGGCAGTAGCCGCAGCAGTAGCAGCAGAGTTGTCGTCGTGGTGATAGTGCTAGGGCTGGTGCGGGTTCCGGTGCCGGTGGTGCTGGTGGTGATGGTGGTGGTGGCAGCGGTGGCGGTGATGGTGGCAGAAGTACGAGTAGAAGGCAGCGGTGGCAGCAGTAGAGAGCAGCTGTCGTCGTCGTAGTATTTTTCGTAGTAGTGGTGGCGGTAATAGCAGTAAAAGTATCAGCAACGGGAGCAGCGGCGGTAGCGTCTGTGGTGGCGCTGGCGGTGGCAGAAGCAGCAGCAGTAGCAGTAG